CTTAATAAGAAAAATGTGCCAGAGGCAAGTTAAATAGTATGGAGTATTATCATGGGTGGTAATTAGGAGCTGGAGATAGGGAGAAGGAGGAAAGGAGTGGTGCTTGTGATCTGCGCCCTTGTTGCTGAGTGCTTCTCTTTCCTTGGTGTGGTGCTACCGACAGTTAAAGAGATTCCTGTAGAAACTCCTGAGCAAAGACCATATCTACAAGAGCAGGGATGTATAACTCTACCTGGTGGGAATTAAGTCATTGTTCCATATTCACTAATGTCACCACCTACTTCATCTTCCTCCTCTGTTGCTGATAGACTTGAGTTTAGGGGTAAGAGATGAAATGAATTCTAGAATCCCTAGTGTCATGATGCCTAGTCTAGGCTCTGAGAAGATGGAGGGAGGGAAAGAGCAATCGAATGGAACAAGATAAGAAAACATGAAGAAGGAAAGAACTGGAGTTGAGAAGCAGTTACATAAGGATATTTATTACACAGGCAATGACCGTGCAGGGCTGTTCAGGGATAGCTATATCTGGAGGTAAAGGAGAGATCACGTAAAGGTATTTCAAGTCACTTTCTCTTCATTTGCTCCTTTCTGTTTAGATCTCATTTTTTTTTTGCAAAATGATTTTAGGCAGTTTAAAAATAAAACTTAATAGAAACCCAAATGAAGAAAAAAAAAAGGCAAGCTCCCTTCTCTCCCCACACAAACTCCTCTTTTCGTCCCCTTATCATTTCCCACATGGCTCATGGCTTCAGCACATACATATTCTGCCATCCACAGCACTGTTTCCTAGGTTTCTCAAAATATGTTATGCAATGTGGAGAATATATTTTTGTAAAAAAAAAGTGCTAAAAAGTAAAAAACAGACCAAAGGAAGAGAGCCAAAATAAGTCAAAGGAAAGTTTTTTATCCTATGCTTTGCGAAATATTGCTCTCTTGGGAACAATTTATAGAATGCCATAATATGTACAAGGTATTGGGCACAAGATATTCAGCAATCATGAAATAACAGTATTAGCATGGAAAGCATTAATATGAACAAAGTACAAGAACAGAATCAGGATGAAATAAATTATAGTTTATGTCAGCCATTGCTTTCTCTGGATGAGACATAAAAATGCCTGGCCATCTTATAACTGAAAAATACTGACATTAAGCATTAGAAAAATGTGTGAGGCTTTGGGCAAGGAATAGAGCAGGGTAAGGCTAAAAACTTTTGAAATGTTAGCTTTATATTTCCTTAACTTTTACATAATAATAAATGAACTTTAGGGCTGCAGCGAGAGCACAGCAGTTAGGGTGTCTGCCTTGCATGTGGCTGACCCGAGTTCTATCCCAGCATCCCATATGTCCCCCAGGCACTGCCAGGAGTAATTCCTGAGTGCAGAGCCAGGAGTAAGTCCTGAGCCTCACCGGGTGTGACCCACAAACCAAAACAAACAAACAAAGAAACAAAAAAAAACCCAAATGAACTTTGTAATAAGCAGTATTAGAAATGACCAAAGATATCATAAAATACCTAAAATTCTGGTTAAAAGACACACGTAAATGCTATGTTTTGCTGACGATATCAATATCAAATGGAAAAAAGCTACCACTTACATTCATTAATTTCTCTTTTTTCAATCAATAAAAAATACAATGAGATTTATCTGAGCTCCCTTTTCCCTAGAGAAAGGAGCACCAAATAAAGGGTGTTGGGAGGATCCTCCCAGGATGGGAGAAGCATGCTGAGAGTAGACTATAGACCAAACATGATTGCCACTCATTGCCTCTTTTGCAAACCACAACACCCAATAGGAGAGAGAGAACAAAAGGGAATGCCACAGAGGCAGGGTGGGACGGGGGGGATGGGGGTGGTGGGATGGATACTGGGATCCGTGGTGGTGGGAAATGGGCACTGGTGGAGGAATGGGTATTTGATCATTGTATAATCGAAACCAAAGCACAAAAATTTGTAAGTCTACTACTGTACCTCGGGCTGGAGCGATAGCACAGCGGGTAGGGCGTTCGCCTTACAAGCGGCCAACATGGCCGACCCGAGTTCGATTCCTCCGCCCCTCTCGGAGAGCCCGGCAAGCTACCGAGAGTATTCGATATGCCAGACACAGTAACAACAAAGTCTCCAATGGAGACGTTACTGGGCCCGCTCGAGCAAATCGATGATCAACGGGAGGGCCTTTACCTTTACCTTACTACTGTACCTCATGGTGTCTCACTAATAAAAATTTTTAAAAAATACAATGAGATTTAATATTTTTCAAGGTATACTGTAGCAAAAATGCAATTTGTTTGAAAAATTTATAAGTATTTAGCTTAATTAAGCTTAAATCAATAGTACTAATTTTATGTCTGCTTCTTATTTTTTATGATAAGAAAATAGCATTAACGTAATATCCCTATAGGTGAGTTTTCAATTTTGACTACTTCTGGGAACTATTTGATACATTGAAATATGGGTTCCTGGGCTAAAGCTCATGTCTCAAGGGACTGGTGTCAGGTCAGGAGTTCAAGCCCAGGCAACACATGGCTCCCCTGGGTGTTTACCAGAGGCCTCCCAACACCACTGGATTCTGAGAGTGCTACATCACTAGGCTGGAGCGATAGCACAGCGGTAGGGCGTTTGTATGGCTGACCCCAGTTCAATTCCTCCGCCCCTCTTGGAGAGCCCAGCAAGCTACTGAGAGTATCTCGCCTGCACAGCAGAGCCTGGCAAGCTCCCCGTGATGTATTTGATATGCCAAACACAGTAACAACAAAGTCTCCAATGGAGATGTTACTGGGCCTGATCGAGCAAATCTATGAACAATGGGAGGACAGTGACAGTGCTCGGTCACTGAACTGTCAGCCTGAACATCTAGAGCAAGTATCATTTAGAGAAACCCCTGGAGCTCTTGAGCACTATCTGGGGAGGTCCCCCAAATAAAAAATAAAATGTGGCTTTGACTCATTAACACAAATTAATTACATGATTATTTATTGGCATTCTAAAATGGCTTGATACCTATTGTCAAGGGCTTTAATCAATTCATTAATTTTAGATTTACAATATGCCTACAGGCATTAATATGTTAGACACAAAAGATTCATATACATTGTAATGAGATTTTATCATTACTGAAAAATGGCTTACATTTCTGAAGAAAAATAAGTAAGCACATATATTAAATTTAATGTGAAAACTGCTCTTAAAAGGACTATAGTCAGGGTGATTTCTGAGATCTTTTAGCAACAATTTGGAAAATTCAAAGTGAAATGCAGTCATTCTTAAGGTGGGTGTGGTTAGGGCCACAGCCAAATGTGCTCAGGGCTTAACTCCTGTCTCTGATAGGGGTGGGGACCACATATGATACCTGGAAACCCAGGTCAGCCTCATGCAAAGGCAAGTACCTTATCTGCTTTATTACTTCTCCAACCTTGAAATTCTTTTAACTGAGTTCAGTGATTAGACATGTTGTGTTATATAATACAATAACCACTAGGAAATTGTGACTATCAACACTGTTAATAAAATTGAAACAAAATTGAAAATCCACTTTCTCAGGCCATAAGTCACATTTGTAGAATTTATTAGTTCCAGATGGCCAGTGACTGTGATATTTGGGAACTCAGATTCCAGAACAGTTCTGTCATCATGCAAGCTTCTCTTCAACAGTTTGGGTTAAGTGAAGTTCATTTATCAAGTTAAAAGCTTAACAAAGGGTGTATTTAAAGGATGTATTATCACTACTTGTATCAAAAGGGCAATGATACTTCTATAAAATAGTCCAAATTAAACCTGTGAAAACATCAAGCTGAGTACCAAAAGCAAATTTCTGGTTATGAAGTAGAGTGTTCCCAAGAAGGCATAGTTGGGAGTTATTTATTTTCGCCAGTGTCTCATTCACTTATTAGATTCTTAGAACTCATCAGAATTCCTTATACACAGAAACCGATCAGTATACATTGAATGTGAAATGGATAAAGTGAATGACAAAATAAAGGAATATGTTTTCTTCTCTGAGAGTAAGCATACTGGGAAGTGGAGTCATCACAGCAAGGTGGCAGGGAACATCAAGAAGTGATCATTTTCCTCACATGCTATTTTTCATTTATGCAATACAATTACTGCCTTAGATAAAGGTGTCTAATTTGAAGTTAGTAGCTATTACTAATCTTAAGCAACTAAGACAGAGAATCAAGAAATTTTAGAGAATGACTTGCCTCAACTGTCAAACAATTACATTCTCGGGTAACTCTTTGTCTTCTCACAACTTTTAAGGAAAAAGGACTAAATTAAAATTTCTTACAAGCAGTCTTTGATGTTTATTTTGAAATATAATATGCATCTACGACTCTAATCAGTAAATAAAAGATAAAAGTTTAAAAATACAGGAACTATATAAGTTACATTTCCAACTGTAAAGTCAAACTGTATCAAGCATTGTACAGAACTGTGAGGCTTATCAATATTGCTTCTCCTGTGCCTTTGTTTTCTTCATTGTCTGGGTCACAGGGTATCATCATTCAGCTCTGTAGCCAAGAGGTAAGGGTAAAGTGAAAAGTTGTGAGCAAGCAGAAACCCTGCTCTCAGATCTCTACTGCCTGGTCATGAGCCTTCAATTACTCATTTAAACTGTTCTATTTCAAACTCATTGTGATGGCTCAACTTGCTACGGCTTTAAGATGTTCCAAAAATATTAAATTGTTTGCACCTCACATAAAATATATACTTATTTTGTGATTGTACAAGATATATAATCACATAAAAATTTAAAGATTTTTCTACTTTAATTTACATGAAAATCATAGTTTTCCCACTTATCTTTGTGAATGAGAGAACATTTCTCCCAGTCAAGGTAAAATTACTGGTAATAAGCATTGACTTTGTTTTCATGTTGGTCATATTAAGAGACAAAATATTTTTCTAAACCACACAAGTGATACAACTTGTTGCAAGTGTTTGCAACACTCAGATTAAAATTTGAGAGATTCACTTATGAAGATGTGTAATCATCACTTACCCCTGTCTGTGTCATACAAGAAGACAAAACAGTTCCATTCATAGTGGTCGAGCAGACTCAAGAGTGCTCCCCGTAAGGACGGTCTCAGCTGCAGCACAAACTGGCTCTCCCCCTCAGTGGGAAAACTTGGTGTGATGAGGGAGATGTGTAAGGCGCTGCAGAATGAGGTCAAGGTATGTACTGACCTCTTATCATAGAGTCCAAAAATGGCAAATACTCCTCTGGAATACTGGGAACAGACTGAAAAACAAACAAACACACACAAAATATTAGCACACTCTGAAATGTTTAAACTCCACACTTCCAATCTATGCAATCAAAAGAAAGATATGAATCACTGGTATGTTAGGAATATAGTGGGGCTGGAGCAAAAGGACAGCACATGGGGCTTTTGCCTTGCATGTGCCAACTGAGGTTTGATCCTCAACACCCCATATCTTTCGTCAGGCCTGTCAGGTGTGACCCCTGAGCACAGAGCCAAGAATAAACTCTGAGCAACACTGGTGTGGTCCCCAAATAAAAACTACAACCACAAAAAAAAAAAGAATATAAGAAAAGAGTAACAATGAAGCATGCAATTAATTGTATAATAAATTAATGGATTCTTGAGCTTGTACTCCTGCATTGAGTGAGATAGCAAAGATCTCTCTACTTTCTTTCTCAATAAGCCAATTTCAATTAATGAGAAATTTAACTAAAGTGAAGTTAATGTGAAATATTGCATAATGCAGTAATGAATTAATGCTTGAGACTTAAATGTGACAGGTCTGAATTTTTCTCTGCTTTTTTTTTCCTCATGCAAAGAATATAATTTTATACTCTCAAAATTTCTGTGTATGAGAGTAGTATTTAAATTGCCCTGGTTCCATTCATCCTCGGTGACATGCAAAACTTTTCTATTTTGAATTCAGACACATATTATTCAGTATGAACTGTTACAAACCATTTTTTCTGTCATGGCAATTTTATTTATTTTTTAATCTCAAAATTAGTGACCTCTTGAATTATACTTGAAGCGAAAAAAGATGATGTATAAAAGTGACTAGTGGATTAAAGTAGACCAGAAGCAGAACTGCAGCCAGCAGCCGAGCTTCCAGAAGACCATGAAGCCATAATTTCCAAACTTAATAGTGCCAAGTTCTCCCAAATGAAGACAAGCAAAGGTAAGGTAAACAGGTTCAGATCTCACTTTTCGTTTCTTTCCTCATGCTCCCATTTGTTGCAAGGCAAATTCACAAAGAGAAAATAAAAAACTTGCCCAGACTTTTTGGATATGACTGATTTCTAATTCAAAATTGGGTAGCTCTTTTCAAATCTTATTTTAAAGGATACAGACCTGTTTTAGGGAATACTTATCTCCTGCTTATTCAGTAAAGCAAGATTGGTTGAATTCCAAATTCTTATAGTTTTCACATATGGCATGCTCCTATTTCTCTGTTGCTAATATAGTTCAAGAAAATAAAATGTTGATTTTTTAAATTTTAGTTACTAATTTTAATCACTCATATCATTAAGAAGCCTAGAGTATTGCATAATTCCTGAGGTATTTAGCTTAGAAATATTTTACTGTGATAAAATTAGATTTTATTTTGTTAAAACAGTAGTAATTAAAGCAGTAATTGGATCTTGAAAAATTAATTATCCTAATAACATTTATGTCTATATTCCACAATATCGGGGCTTGGGAAATGATACCATATAATTAAATAAGATAAATTAAAAACCCAGAGGCATTTATTTTATCCTGTACATTGTGCTTTTTGGAACTAAGGATAGAGCCTAACAGAAGATGGTAACAACAAAAAAATGAATGCATTTTTTAGATGTCATGCTCCAATCTACATGCTCTGGAAAACCTTTTGTCCAACTAAGTGATCAAAGTATTCAAACTGATATGATGAATATAAAATTCACATTAGGAATCAGGAGAAAGATATTTCAAATTTTTAAACAAATTCAAATCATCATGCTTTAATTTATTAGCCAAGCTACCCAGACTGTTACTTAATCTTTTTTTTATTAACTATGAATATTTAATATTTAAAGACAAAGTAATAATGTGATATCCTCAGACAACACATAAAATAGTTGCAGATATTAACACAATGCTTTCTATACACAGATAGTGTAAATTATTCTATTAGTTAATGAGAATAAAAGTTTTAAAGGGTAGAATAGCTTAGTTTATCTAAAATCAATAATGGAGGTATTCAGATTCTACAGGTACCTGTTATCTGCATGGGTTTTTTAAAAACAATTTACAAATAAATTTTATCAGAGCAGAAGTTGTTATTTTATTTCTATCGCTTGCTCAAGAACAAAACTTAGATGATATGAGTAGACCCTGGAAACCTTCCTGACAGTAAGCAATGCAAGTATGTAAACACTACACCTGCAGCATCTGACCTGGAGTTACTTGGCAATTTGTTATTATGTTAGTCATGTCCAGTAATTATTAACTTGCATTGCTAAAAATACTCCTAAGCATTAGAACACATATATATTTTGGCTTTCAGTCTATTGAAATTACTCATGTACTTTGGTAATGCATGCATATAACAAGTATTTACAAAATTTTTTATAGGATACTTTCTTTAATATAATTTTATTTGAATTTTTGTGGTTTGAGGGCCACATCTTTAATCCTACGTCTATGGTCAGTAATCACTACTGGTTATGCTGGGAGAAAAATATATGGTGCCAAGAACTGAACAGGGGTCAGCTGCCTGAAAGGCAAGGATTAAAACAGGTACCAATATAAAAATTTATGGTAAATCATACTTCCAAAAAATTAGTTCAAACAACTAATATATTATTTAAAAAAAATTATTGATTCACTGTGAGATATAGTTACAAACTTTCATGTTTGAGTTACGATCACACAATGATCAAACACCCATCCCTCCACCAGTGCACATTCCCCACAACCAATATCCCCCGTATACCCCTACCTTTCCCACCCTCCCACTGCCTCCATGGCAGACAATATTCCCCATAATCTCTCTATACTTTTGGGCATTATGGTTTGCAATGCAGATAATGAGAGGTTATCATGTTTGGTCCTTTATTCACTTTTGGCACACCTCTCCCATGCCGGACCCATTCTTCCAACCATCATTTTCTTAGTGATGCCTGCTCTATTCCAGCTATCCTCTCCCCGACCATTCATGAGACAGGCTTCCAACTATGGGGCAATCTTCCTGACCCTTATATCTACTGTCGTTGGGTGTTAGTCTCGTGTTGTTATTTTATACTCCAAAAATGAGTGCGGTCCTTCTATATCTGTCCCTCTATTTTTGACATATTTCATTTAGCATGATACTCTTCATGTCTATCCAGTTATGAGCAAATTTCATGACTTCATCTCTCCTAACAGCTGCATAATATTCCATTGTGTAGATGTACCAAAGTTTCTTTAACCAGTCGTCTGTTCTCGGGCACTTGGGTTGTTTTCAGATTTTGGCTAGTGTGAACAGTGCTGCAATGAACATATAGGTACAGATGTCATTTCTACTGTGCTTTTTTGCATCCTTGGGATATATTTCCCAGAAGCGGTATTGAGGGGTCATATGGAAGCTCAATTTCTAGTTTTTGAAGGACTGTCCATATTGTTTTCTAGAAATGCTGGACCAGTCGGCATTCCCACCAACAATGAAAGAGCATCCCTTTATCCACACCAGCACTGGGTGCTTTTGTTCTTTTGAATGTGTGCCAGTCTCTGTGGTGTGAGATGATGTCTCATTCTTGTTTTGATTTGTATCTCCCTGATGATTAGTGATGTGGAGCATTTTTTCATTTGCCTTTTGGCCATTTGTATTTCTTTTTTGAGGAAGCTTCTGTTCATTTCTTCTCCCCATGTTTTGATGGGGTTGGAGGTTTTTTTCTTATATAATTCTACTAGTGTCTTGTATATCCTGGATATTAATACAATGAATATATTCTACACAAAATTCTATGTTTTCTCTACTTTATGACTTCTGTGGACTCATTAATGACCTTACACTATTTTAGCACTTGCTATATGATTTAAACAGTTCTAGTTACTTAATGTTTCAGAAAAGTTAGTATTTCCTAATAGTTTATTGAGTTCATTCATTTACATCATCATAAATACCTACTATCTTTCACAGCTATCTGCTATTCTGTCTCTGATAAACTTAGTTTGAAATTAATGCGAGTCTGAGACTAATAAATTAATTTTTGGCTGTAGTGTTTTTTTTTATTTGGAGATGTGAGGATTGTTCCCCTTTAGAAGTTCACAGGGATTACTGACTCTGCTTAGGGCTCACTTCTGGGGTGCCTGGAGGATCATATTCAGTTTCGGGCATCCAATTGAGGATGGCTGCATGAAGGAAAATACCTTAATCTTTGAATTTCTCTGACACTGTATTTTGTCATTTTTATTTTACTTTCCATATTCAAATCTCTAGATTCTGGGTTCTAATTTTGATCCTATTTTGGGATTGGTTTTATTTATATTGTGCATGCGAGGAAGGTAAGGATTATTGGGTTACTGTGGATGTGGCTGGATTGCCAAATATCTGCTATTATTTTTTCCAGTGTATGCTTGGGGGCTAGAGCCAGTGGTGCTCCGGACTTACCTCTGGCTCCGTCATCTTAGATCAATCCTGGAAGTGTCAGAGACCATATATGGTTCTGGGGATCGAACCATGATCAGGCATATGCAAGATAAGTGCCTTCATATCTGCAACACTCCACTTGCCCCATTTGCCCACTGTTATTATCGCAGCATAATACCTTTCAGAGTATTTAATTAAATCTGATAAATCACCAATTTAAATACAAGTATTCCAATATCAAGTTTTACAATCTAGCTTTGCTAACACTCAAACCCAAATTTGCCTGCTTATATCTTACAATGTCTATTTCTCTGTGTACAAATAATTGTTTTAGCAATAGAACTTAAGATATAAAATGTTATCCATGAAATACGGGCGAGATACTCTCAGTAGCGTGCCGGGCTCTCCGAGAGGGGCGGAGGAATCAAACTCGGGTCGGCCATGTTGGCTGCGTGCAAAGCAAACGCCCTACCACTGTGCTATCGCTCCAGCCCACACGGCAGAGCCTGGCAAGCTCCCCGTGAGGTATTCGATATGCCAGACACAGTAACAACAAAGTCTCCAATGGAGACGTTACTGGGCCCGCTCCAGCAAATCGATGATCAACGGGAGGGCCTTTACTTACTTACTTATCCTTGAAATACAACTCTTAAGATATAT